AGTCATTCAGGTTAGTGAAATATTTCTACTTATTTCTATTAATATATTTATTTTTCTTTTACACGAGGGCCTTCCTCTCCCATTTCATCATAAAGAAACATTATTTTTGTGTGGGGAGATCTTGGGAAGATACCAAACGTGGATTCATTTGTTTGTAACATTTAAACATTATAAAGAAAATCTTTACACGTGATTTTCTGAGTGTGTACATTCTGACATTCGGCATGTCGTCATGTATAATAAGTAGGTCACTGTGACCTTTATTTCTGTGAGGTATCCGATGTAAGTACATAAATACCTTGTAAAGACGGCGATGTGTAGCATGCAGGAAATTTGTTACTATTTTTTTTTTTTTTTTTTTACACTTAATATTTTCATGATATTTTTACTGAACCATTATTTATCTATATATTTATTTATTTTATTTATCTATTTGCAACTGATACAGAAATGAGATGGTGCTGGTTACGACGACTCTCACACAATCTGTAAATGTGTAACTATATATCCGGTCATCCGGTCATTGTTGGGGTGGATGAGGAGGTCATAATAAACTTTAAGCTTTTAATGTCTTTTCATGTGTATATTTCATGATATATAATGCCACTTACTTAGAGCTGTGTATTTCAAAGCTATAGAACAATATACATGTACATGTTTGAAGTATAGGCTTTTGTTAAAGACTGGTGTTCCCTGTAGCTGGAGGCACTGTACGGATACTGGACAAGGACATCACATTACAGGGATATCACGTGCCGAAGGGGGTAAATACTGTCTTTTTAAGATGCACATATTTGTACCCGAATATTCAAATGCCTTGAGAATAGTGTCTGATTGAGGAAAATTGTACTGTACACAAACAAACATTTGTAAAGTCAGACACATTCTTACAGACACCGCTGCGACTTTGTAACGGTCCGATAGGGAGAGATGAGAAGTACTTCCCCCAGCAAGACCAGTTCATTCCTGAGCGTTGGATTCGTGGGGACACCAAAACAGGTGTACACCCATTCGCTCACCTGCCATTTGGGTTTGGACCCCGTAAATGCATTGGTCAAAGATTCGCTGAGCAGGAGATATACATCTGTATCGCAAAGGTAGGTTTTAAATGTTTGTGTTCAGTAGATTTTTTTTTCAAAAAATTCTCGTACGCTTTGTGAAAAATAACTTTAATAATCAAAATTGTTTAAAATTGACTTCGTTACGAATGTTACACTTCGTATTAAACTGAATTATTCATTTCCTATTTCAATCCTTAGCTCATCCGGAACTACCGTGTGGTGCTGCCCCCTGGTGTTACAGAACTTCCCCATGTCTACGGCATATTTGCTACTCCTAGAGAACCTGCAAGCTTCAGCCTGGAGATACGTGAAGACTGAATAACGAAATATGCATAACTACATGTATGTGTTACAGAACACCACCCTAACTAAACGGTATAATGCGGCTGGTATTTAACAGGGTTACAAACTCCCCTCTCACCCTCTCAGACAGTAACTCGTCCTTGAGGTATTCCCCCATATGCTTACCAATGTAACACAGAAATATTTATCAAACATGAAGTATGATATTTAATTATAAATTGATTTTTGCTTATTTCTTTTTTTAATTCAGTGACTTCCCTACATTGTGATATTAGAAGACTTTTGTACAAATGCAGTCTCTCATGATTAATCACAATCAAAACCCACTGTTTCGCTGATTAATTTCCCTCTAGAATGTGTTCACCCGTTAACTATCTATGATATCTGTTTATTTCTATTTTTAATCAAGCGTATTTTACTATCTTAAGGAAAGCAATGGGATTAGACATAAGTAATACAAATACGTATCTTAAAATCGTGCAGTGAACTTATACCACAAAGTTACTCCAATGAAATATCATCAACATTAGGGTCATAGCCACATTACTTTCATGTTATTCCACACCCATGTGTACACAATATTACTACATAACAATATATGTTTAAATGCAGATTCCCCAACCTATATAGCATCTCATATGAAATATATGAAATCTTATGTTTTATCAGGTATATTTTGAGATATCATTGAATGATGAAATCTGTATTAGATTGAAATTGGAATGTCAAACCTATGTCTCTACAACAGGTCGTGAACATTGGAGGATTTCGGAAAAAAAGAATTTAGAAAAATTAAATAAAAAGATAAAAAAAAATTAATAATAAAAAACCCAGCAGCATTATTGTCATTTAACGACAGAAGGGTAACCAGGTTGTATTGAGCATCAATTAACAAACATAAAATAATTGAATTAAAATTATTATGAATTTGTATACGGGACACGCTGTGACGGATGTATTCAACAAGTTCTTCTCTTTTATTTCTACCACTGCTGCTGAAGATGACTCTGAATTCGATTTACCTCCCCTTAGCCACCTGGCATTTTCTTATATCGACCAAATTCTGTTAATTAAAGATAACAAAACCTGTAGGGCTTGATAATGTTTTCTCTCGTCCTGGACATGTAAATCCACGCTTTTTACCGATGTGAAGTTAATAGAATATTACACTCCTTTATGGTGAGATAGGAGGATCTCAACCCTCGGGAGAAGATTATTAAGTTATCAAACACAAGTCAGGCCTCGTTTTTGGCAACTATTTACTGTCTTTAGACCCTACATAAATGGTATTTCTGAGCAATTGGCTATTTAAGGTGTAAGGGTTGGAGTGGGAAGAAATTTAAACATTAACAAAATATGAATAGTTGAGATCCTTTAACTTTGAGGCATCTTTTCACAAAGTTTTAAACGTTTCTGTTCACGGAATTTATAAATATAGGTATATGTATTGCTAAACCTTCATATCCTTGATTCTAAAAAAAAAATAAGAGGGTTCAATATTTAAAGTGACATTTTCTCGGATATGAATAAATTACATTAAAGGCATACATTATTTTCCAAAGTTTTTAAAAATTGTTTAATCTTTCAAATGAAATGATTGTAATGGTAATGAGTGCATTTTATCCAAATCCACAATTTCCTTTTTATTTGTTGATAAATTTAGTCATAGATATATGTAATACAAATGATCTTTATGTCTTTATTTTTGAACTTTTTTTATCGGAGTTATCAAATGTGTAAATGTTATATATGTAGTAATGATTGGTTGAATGAGTTGTATGAATGTGTACTTAGTTTAATCGAAATTTTCGTTGTTTGTTTGTTTTTTATTCTTCAAAATTTGTCAATTTTGATACATCAAAACCGGATCCCCATGAAAAGACTAATATAGGTTATGCCCATTGTCCAATCATTTTGTGCAATAAAATTTGTTGAAATCTTCAGTGGGTATGTTGATTTTTTCAATGTCAAATACACAATTGCTTATAAAATATCTCCTGGTATTTCACGGTGTATTTAGGTAGGTGTTACGAGAGGAAGATAAATGGTGTTTTAATGGATGTGTTTTAGAAAATGTAGATGAATTTAATTACTTGGGAGTTTTACTTCATTTCAAAGGTAAATTTGATAAAACAGAAATAGCTATGCAAGGTAGAAAAACACTGTTCCCTGCATATATATCTGTAAAGATCACTTTAATTTCAAAACACGACTTCACGTTTGTTTTTGACACATATGTTTGTAGTATATTAAATTAAAGAGCTGAAAATCTGGGGTTTACATAAGCACCAGAAACTACATGTAAGTTATTGTAAAAGATATTAGGGGTAAAGAAATCTGCTTCAAATGTTATGGTCTACCAAGAACTAGATAGAGTGCCTCCGGAAATTATCAGAAAGGTTCGTATAATTAAGTATTAGATGAAAATAAAGCATTCTGATAACTTTAGTTTTACAAGCTTGTTACCAAGGTATGATAGCAAACGGAAGCGAATGACTGCAAGTGTGAGAGATGAACTTTTTAGATAGGGTGTGGAGTACTTTATGAGGAGACTTTTACACCTGATTATCCCATAAACATTATTAAAACTAGATTGTTCGATATCTTTAAACAAGAGTGTAGTGGAAAGATAAATTCATTTCCCAAATGTTCCCTATATAGATATGTCGGTTAGGACAGTTTTCAGAGTTTATTACAAAATCTATCGGAAATTCTACTGTGAAAGAAATAAAGAAAAGAATGATAACTATTGCACTTTATGTGACAGCAGTGACTTAGAACATCAATTTCATTTTATAGTTAAATGTAACAGATATAAGGAAACGTTTCATTATCATTAATAATATACATTTCTGCTTACTGTTGTAGAGCTCATTTATATCATGTGTACGGATGTTTAAAACAATGTACATGTATTATAATATGAAAATTGTTGATAATTAATTATACCCAGTACTATGAATTGAATTATTTCATAACTGAAATGTATGTTCTATTCTGTGTAGAGCTCATTTATATCATGTGTACGGATGTTTAAAACAATGTACATGTATTGTAGATATGAAAATTGTTGTTAATTACATTATACTGAATGAACTGGTTTAGTTCAAAATTGAAATGTATGTTCTATTCTGTGCTACGAATTTAAGCCGAGAATTGAAAATTGATAACAATGAAAATAAAAGAATTAAACCTTCTTTCATGAATTGTTTTGTCAGATTTCTCGACACGTCACCGTCCGACGTTAATGATTCATTGATGTTGCTTTGATGTGAATAACCATTAACATTATTAAAGGACGCTGGACTAAGATGTGTTAGTGCAAGTGAAGCCATCAAGACCCGGGGGTAGTTACACTATCGATACACACATGTATACATTGTACTATATCAATACCTGGAGACAGCGATGTTTGTGCAGGTGGTGTAATCAAAGGACCCGTTTAGGTAAATTACCGTGTGTTTGTACAAGGGAGGACCTCAATACCACCGTGTGTGCGTGTGTACAAATGTACAAAACTAACAATTAGATTCGGGTGGTAAAAACGCTCAGCCAATCAAATCTCGATTTCATCACATGACCACGCCTTTCCTTCTTTTCATTTCCAGTGATTATGCCTATAAAATCGATGCGAAAATGACCAACTTTACATTCATCATGAATTCCCGACTGAGCAGAAAGATGTCGACCAAGAAGAGCAAAGCTGTTGTCAAACGTCTACGACATGACCGAAACGCCTGGCGTGACGACGAGACCGCGTTTGTCCCAACCAGTCACATTTTACGTGACTTCCGGCTGTCCAAGGCCATGTTGGATGAATTGGTGTTCCCTACCAACGACAAACAGCGATTGGTGTACTCCGACAACCACAAATGGATACGAGCCTCCTACGGACACAGCGTCAACATCCGGTTACCAAAGATTGGCATTCCTGTCCGTTCTGGCGAGAATCTCACGTTCTTTGTCCACGGGATGAAAGCCAGAGATATAGAGTCTGTCCTCAGGTATGGACTGGACCGCAATCGCTGCCCGTATGTCGATTTCACCGACTGTCCCAACTACGTCAGAGCTGGTGCGGAAGTGCTGGTCCATATTGACGTTAGAAGGTTCCTCAATGCTGGCTTCCGGCTCTACAACATCGGCCCTCACGTCTTTGCCACAGAGTTCACAGTTCCACCGGAGTTCATCTCGGATATAGAGTACCTTGTACTCTGAATATATCTCCACCTTAAACGGCCCTTTTGAGGGCCACACAAACAGCCCTTTTTAGGGCTAACATTTTCCCAAAAAAGCACATAGTACCTCGAAATACGCATAAAAATATAGACAATAAAAACCATTAGGAAATTAATAAAAGAAAAAGCTGAGTACCTCCATATGTATACGCATATTTCTCTGAAAATTGTCCCTTATTCGAATCTAAAAATAATTTCATGTGAACAATAGCCATTCTTAAGGTTCACTAATACGCATATTTTCACTGTATTTCATATAATTGACGAAAATTTCAAGCACACACGAATGTAGTAAGGTAATAGTGCACAGTTTTTCGGTGCGGCCATGGGTGCTATTTTTGTTCATTAGATTACACCAATATAACGGTGTTAATTAGAAAATAAATAAAATGTCTATGCTAAAATTGGTGTTGTCATATTAAATTGGACATTGTGGGGTTGTATACTTTTTAAAAACAACATTTTTGCATTATGTCGGAGATTACTATTTTGGCTGTCTCTAATCTGCGTCTACACACCAACGACTAGCTTTACAGGAAGCGAAATTTCCCTGGTGTCTATACGTGGTCATGTTGTAAATGCGTTCCAAGTTGGACATTTCTGAAACCTAAGTAATTTGACACCATGACAGTGTTGTTAACTATAAGACAAATATTCAGAAATAAATTCCTCCTTTAAAGTGGTAATATTAGTTTAGAATTAGTAGTATTTTTTGCAATTTAACGTTTTTTTCGGGTTGGTAACCATGACAGTTGTGTAAAAAATCGGGGGAAATTTTTAGTTTACCAAATTTTTAATTCTCTACTGTTAATGTAATTGTATGTTGCTTATAGATATGTATACATGTAAGGATTTACTTTCATAACTAATCAACTATACCTGTATAAGTCAAACATGAACTATAATTTCAGGGAAAATGCTAATTTACCGTTTTCAGTTACCTTAGTATCTGTAATATGCAAAGGGAGGTAACTCCATGATACTAAAAATGACGTACAAATTTGGACTATTGGGTGTATACTGAGCCGTACATGACGTTTTTTACAACCAATATACATTTCTGCTTACTGTTGTAGAGCTCATTTATATCATGTGTACGGATGTTTAAAACAATGTACATGTATTGTAGATATGAAAATTGTTGATAATTACATTATATCCAGTACTATGAACTGAATTAGTTCAAAATTGAAATGTATGTTCTATTCTGTGCTACGAATTTATGCCGAGAATTGAAAATTGATAACAATGAAAATAAAAGAATTAAACCTTCTTTCATGAATTGTTTTGTCAGATTTCTCGACACGTCACCGTCCGACGTTAATGATTCATTGATGTTGCTTTGATGTGAATAACCATTAACATAATTAAAGGACGCTGGACTAAGATGTGTTAGTGCAAGTGAAGCCATCAAGGCCCGGGGGTAGTTACACTATCGATACATACATGTATTCATTGTACTATATCAATAACCGAGACAGCGATGTTTGCGCAGGTGGTGTAATCAAAGGACCCGTTTAGGTAAATTACCGTGTGTTTGTACAAGGGAGGAACACAATACCACCGTGTGTGCGTGTGTACAAATGTACAAAACTAACAATTAGCCTATCAAATCTCGATTTCATCACATGACCACGCCTTTCCTTCTTTTCATTTCCAGTGATTATGGCTATAAAATCGAAGCGAAAATCACCAACTTTACATTCAACATGAATTCCCGACTGAGCAGAAAGATGTCGACCAAGAAGAGCAAAGCTGTTGTCAAACGTCTACGACATGACCGAAACGCCTGGCGTGACGACGAGACCGCGTTTGTCCCAACCAGTCACATTTTACGTCACTTCCGGCTGTCCAAGGCCATGTTGGATGAATTGGTGTTCCCTACCAACGACAAACAGCGATTGGTGTACTCCGACAACCACAAATGGATACGAGCCTCCTACGGACACAGCGTCAACATCCGGTTACCAAAGATTGGCATTCCTGTCCGTTCTGGCGAGAATCTCACGTTCTTTGTCCACGGGATGAAAGCCAGAGATATAGAGTCTGTCCTCAGGTATGGACTGGACCGCAATCGCTGCCCGTATGTCGATTTCACCGACTGTCCCAACTACGTCAGAGCTGGTGCGGAAGTGCTGGTCCATATTGACGTTAGAAGGTTCCTCAATGCTGGCTTCCGGCTCTACAACATCGGCCCTCACGTCTTTGCCACAGAGTTCACAGTTCCACCGGAGTTCATCTCGGATATAGAGTACCTTGTACTCTGATTATATCTCCACCTTAAACGGCCCTTTCTAGGGCCACACAAACAGCCCTTTTTAGGGCTAACATTTTCCCAAAAAAGCACATAGTACCTCGAAATACGCATAAAAATATAGACAATAAAAACCATTAGGAAATTAATAAAAGAAAAAGCTGAGTACCTCCATATGTATACGCATATTTCTCTGAAAATTGTCCCTTATTCGAATCTAAAAATAATTTCATGTGAACAATAGCCATTCTTAAGGTTCACTAATACGCATATTTTCACTGTATTTCATATAATTGACGAAAATTTCAAGCACACACGAATGTAGTAAGGTAATAGTTTTTCGGTGCGGCCATGGGTGATATTTTTGTTCATAAGATTGCACTACTATAACGGTTTTAATTAGAAAATAAATAAAATGTCTATGCTAAAATTGGTGTTGTCATATTAAATTGGACATTGTGGGGTTGCATACATTTTAAAAACAATATTTTTTGCATTGTGTCGGAGATTACTATTTTGGCTGTCTCTAATCTGCGTCTACACACCAAAGACTAGCTTTACAGGAAGCGAAATTTCCCTAGTGTCTATACGTGGTCATGTTGTAAATGCGTTCCGAGTTGGACATTTCTGAAACCTAAGTAATTTGTCACCATGACAGTGTTGTTAACTATAAGACAAGTATTCAGAAATAAATTCCTCCTTTAAAGTGGTAATATTAGTTTGGAATTAGTAGTATTTTTTGCAATTTAACGTTTTTTTCGGGTTGGTAACCATGGCAGTTGTGTAAAAAATCAGGGGAAATTTTTAGTTTACCAAATTTTTAATTCTCTACTGTTAATGTAATTGTATGTTGCTTATAGATATGTATACATGTAAGGATTTACTTTCATAACTAATCAACTATACCTGTATAACTCAAACATGAACTATAATTTCAGGAAAGATGCTAATTTACCGTTTTCAGTTACCATAGTTTCTGTAATATGCAAAGGGAGGTAACTCCATGATACTAAAAATGACGTACAAATTTGGACTATTGGGTGTATACTGAGCCGTACATGACGTTTCTTACAACCAATATACATTTCTGCTTACTGTTGTAGAGCTCATTTATATCATGTGTACGGATGTTTAAAACAATGTACATGTATTGTAGATGTGAAAATTGTTGATAATTACATTATATCCAGTACTATGACCTGAATTAGTTCAAAATTGAAATGTATGTTCTATTCTGTGCTACGAATTCATGCCGAGAATTGAAAATTGATAACAATGAAAATAAAAGAATTAAACCTTCTTTCATGAATTGTTTTGTCAGATTTCTCGACACGTCACCGTCCGACGTTAATGATTCATTGATGTTGCTTTGATGTGAATAACCATTAACATAATTAAAGGACGCTGGACTAAGATGTGTTAGTGCAAGTGAAGCCATCAAGGCCCGGGGGTAGTTACACTATCGATACATACATGTATACATTGTACTATATCAATACCTGGAGACAGCGATGTTTGCGCAGGTGGTGTAATCAAAGGACCCGTTTAGGTAAATTACCGTGTGTTTGTACAAGGGAGGACCTCAATACCACCGTGTGTGCGTGTGTACAAATGTACAAAACTAACAATTAGATTCGGGTGGTAAAAACGCTCAGCCAATCAAATCTCGATTTCATCACATGACCACGCCTTTCCTTCTTTTCATTTCCAGTGATTATGGCTATAAAATCGAAGCGAAAATCACCAACTTTACATTCAACATGAATTCCCGACTGAGCAGAAAGATGTCGACCAAGAAGAGCAAAGCTGTTGTCAAACGTCTACGACATGACCGAAACGCCTGGCGTGACGACGAGACCGCGTTTGTCCCAACCAGTCACATTTTACGTCACTTCCGGCTGTCCAAGGCCATGTTGGATGAATTGGTGTTCCCTACCAACGACAAACAGCGATTGGTGTACTCCGACAACCACAAATGGATACGAGCCTCCTACGGACACAGCGTCAACATCCGGTTACCAAAGATTGGCATTCCTGTCCGTTCTGGCGAGAATCTCACGTTCTTTGTCCACGGGATGAAAGCCAGAGATATAGAGTCTGTCCTCAGGTATGGACTGGACCGCAATCGCTGCCCGTATGTCGATTTCACCGACTGTCCCAACTACGTCAGAGCTGGTGCGGAAGTGCTGGTCCATATTGACGTTAGAAGGTTCCTCAATGCTGGCTTCCGGCTCTACAACATCGGCCCTCACGTCTTTGCCACAGAGTTCACAGTTCCACCGGAGTTCATCTCGGATATAGAGTACCTTGTACTCTGATTATATCTCCACCTTAAACGGCCCTTTTTAGGGCCACACAAACAGCCCTTTTTAGGGCTAACATTTTCCCAAAAAAGCACATAGTACCTCGAAATACGCATAAAAATATAGACAATAAAAACCATTAGGAAATTAATAAAAGAAAAAGCTGAGTACCTCCATATGTATACGCATATTTCTCTGAAAATTGTCCCTTATTCGAATCTAAAAATAATTTCATGTGAACAATAGCCATTCTTAAGGTTCACTAATACGCATATTTTCACTGTATTTCATATAATTGACGAAAATTTCAAGCACACACGAATGTAGTAAGGTAATAGTGCACAGTTTTTCGGTGCGGCCATGGGTGATATTTTTGTTCATTAGATTACACCACTATAACGGTTTTAATTAGAAAATAAATAA